TTCGGGAGGCAAAAAAATGCTGTATTCAGTGTATAAGACGCACCCAGATTTTCAGCTTTTTTTTTTTTTGCGGGAAAAACGTGCGTCTTATGCTCTGAAAAATACGGTAATAGGTGGGATATGTTGTTAAATTTACTTTATATCGTTACAATTTTCATTAATTGGTCAAATTAACACATTTTATAAATTTTATTCGCAACCAGAACGGTCCAGTTCCAAAAATAGGGGTGTTCCGAAGATTTTGGAAAACAGTTGCCGTCACTATGACCTCAGGTCTGCGGTTAAGGGTTAAAAAATTCCTTGATGTAACACCCCCCCCCCCCCAAGTCTTAAAACTCAGATTTCAGCCTCTGTTCCTGAAGACCCTCTGGGGAATAAAATTATTTTTTTTCTGAACCCAAATCTCAGACGGTTATCAACTCTCTTAAGGTTTTGGCCTCCCCGAGACACCTGGCAAAGTAATGAGATTTGGGCTGCTTCAAATGCATTGGAAATAGGTTTTTATTTTAATAATGCCGGGCCACAATGAACAGGGGAGCGATGGTCACCCTGTTGTGGTAGCTTTGGTGGCTGCATTGCTGACTTTTGCCTTGTGTGGAGGCCTCCAGTCTTTTCAGTCTTTTCTGTCTCTCTTTTAAACATGCTTTTTAAAAAGGCCCTCAGGAATCAGTAATGAAATGAAGTGAAACGAGGCAATTTGTTATTTAAGAGAGTAACTAAGTGTAATTCGGCTGATGTCTTGTGACCTATGAATAAAGAAATGATCACTTCTTCCACGACTCTGTGGTAGAAGGCATGGCGGAATCTGGGGGGGCGGAGTTAAAAGAGCCATCAGCCTAGTATCTCTGCGTAGCCACAAGTGGAGTAAATCCAACCTCCCTTGAATGCTATGGATACTTATCTAACTCCCAGCAGGTTGCTAACCCTTAGTTGAAAAGATTCCTGTGCATAGGCTCTTTAGCAATAAATCATTTTAATTATTAGACCTTCATGCATGGAACTCATCTTTTGTACCTGACACAGGTTCTGGAATGGTAAGCACAGGAGAATCACTGCATAAACCCTAAATTGGGTTAAGACAGTTTTTAAAACTCTCAATTTTACTTATGCAATCTCGGAGCGTGCGTTGAAATCCCTCCCCATGCCATTTTATTTACCCACTCTGGGAGTGAGATGGACAATACCTAAATTTGATTAAACAAAGAAATAATAGAAAGCCCTTCTCCCAAAGTAGGAGGAAACAGCCCAGCCTTTAATTTTTTTAAAATAAATTTGTAGTTTGCTTAAAAAAAAGTTTGGTTATGTGGTAAATCAGATGTAGAAATAATGATGTATATGACACAGCTGTGCTTGTTTCGTTGCCACATTCAGTGTAGGCCTCATCCTTCTAAACCAGTGATGGCAAACCTTTTTGCAAACTGGAACACGCGTGTATGTGCCAGAACACCGGAAACCCGAAGACTGGCTGGCTGGCTGGCATGCACATGCCTGTTTATTTTTGGCATTTTGGGGAGCGTTTTCAGACTGTTTTGGGGGCCATTTCTGCCCATTTTCCCAGCTGTTTTGGGGGCTGGTTTCAGCCTGAAAAACTGCCAAAAACAAAATGGCCCGAAAAACAGCTGGAAAAGAGCTGGTTTCTGGCCGTTTTCAGGCCGTTTTCCGGTGCTGCAGCGCCCATGAAGACCAGCTGGCCAGCACACATGTGCATGCTGGAAACCAGAAGAGCAGCTGGCGATGGCGCCCGTGTCCACACAGAGAGGCTCTGCTTGCCACCTCTGGCACACGTGCCATAGGTTCGGCATCACGGTTATAAACCATTGTTTCTCCCCCCGCCACTGAAAATTTATTTGGCCCTCCCTCATTTAAGTACTTATTTAGTGTATGCTGAGAACACGGCAAAAGAGATCAAGGAATCACGGAATGGCCAGATAGAAGGATCCCCACAGGAAACCAATGTGGGCGAATCTAAGCCAAATTAGACTCTCTTCAATTCGGTAGTTTCTTGTCGCTTTTGAGAAACCACCCGGGGTGAGCTTCCGTTCAGAAAAGGAAAGGAGCCCCAAATTAAAAAGGATGTATGAACGGGAAAGTGCTATTCCTGGCCATTTGAAGACGCTTTCAACCCTCTTCAGATGTACAAATATCTAAAGCAGGGGTCTCCAAACCAAGGCCGCTTTAAGGTTAGTGGACTTCAACTCCCGTAATTCCTCAGCCAGCATGAAACCTGGCCGCTTTAAGACTTGTAGACTTCAACTCCCAGAATTCCTCTGCTAGCCATGGCTGGCTGAGTCATTCTGGGAGTTGAAGTCCACATGTCTTAAAGCGGCCAGATTGGGAGCCCTCCGGTTTAAAGTGTTCTGCTAGATTAATGCTGTAGGTTCAATGTTCTCACGACTCCTTCCCTTCCCTTCTTAAAGCAAAACCGTGTTGTTGGAGCAATGCAACTTTATTCTGTGGATAGGAAAGTGTCGCAGCCCATCGAAGGCCACGCTGCCAGTTTCGCCCAATTCAAGATGGAAGGCAATACGGAAGAATCCACTCTGTTCTGCTTCGCAGTCCGGGGGCAAGCCGGGGGCAAGGTGAGCCTGTGGGTCCAATCTCCATTCATCCATCTCTGGGAGGGGACTTTGGCCTTCAGTGGGTTTTTATTTCATACAGGAAGTCCTCGACTTACGACCACAGCTGGGACCAGAACACCTGTTTCTAAGTGGGTCGGTTGTTAAGTGAGTCACACATGATTTTTTTTTGCCATGTTTGTTAAGTGAATCACTGAAGTTTTTAAGTGAGTCACGTGGTCGTTAAGCAAACCTGGCATCCCCCGTTGATTTTGCTCACCATTAGCCAGCTGGGAAGGTCCCAAATAGCAATCACAGGAGCCCAGGATGCCACGGTCATTGTAAATAGATGCCAAGCATGTGAAGTTTGACCAACGGACCACCATAAGTCATTTTTTTCAGTGCTGCTGTAACTTCTTGCTTCAGGTTCTGGATGCGAGTGATGAGCATCCCATCCTGATTAACAGAAGGCACATAGGTCTTAACATCTGAATCATCGTCATCTCTATTCAGTGACCGCATAATCCCTTGTGGGGTGGAGTTTGGGCAACTGAATAGAGCTGAGTGTTTACTGGCCGGATGCCCTTCCAGGTCGCCAATGCGGAGTTATATTCAGCTGATATATTCTCATCGTGCCCAGAGAGAGAAATATCTGCCTCTACTTAGGAGCGAACTCACAACCTCCCAAATGCGAGGCGAGAGCTCCACCTCTAGGCCACCACACGTACACGGGTGTGTGTCGCTCATTGCATTATGGGTGTGGCACGCCCACACACGATTCCCCCCCCCCACGCTCCCCCCACTTTTTGGGAGCCAAAAAAATGGTCGCCATCGCTGCTCTATACTGTTTCAGACAAATGGCTATCCAACATCTTAAAGACTTCCAGTGTTGGGGCATTCACAACTTCTGGAGGAAACTTCTGTTCCACTGATTAATTGTTCTCACTGTCATATTTATGACAGTTGCATTGTCCGGGGTGGTGGGGTGGTGGTGGTAATCACATGATCCCCTTTTGCCATCTCCTGACAAGCAAAAGCAATGGGTGAAGTGAGATTCACTTAACAACACTGTTACTAATTTAACAATGGCAGTGATTCACCTAACAACCGTGGCAAGAAACGTAAAATGGGGCAAAACTTGCTTAACTCATTTTCTCACTCAGCAACATAAATTCTGGGCTCAATTGTGATTGTATGCCGAAGGGCTACCTGTGGTCGGTTTCCAGCCCTGGGGCCACCTCTTCTTGTTTGATAAAGCCAAGTATTGGCAATCATGGATCCCTTTCTAAAGATGGCCTCCAACCTGATTTTCTTTCTGTGCAGTTGCATATTATTGAGGTCGGGGCACCTCCCACCGGAAACCAGCCATTCCCTAAGAAAGCTGTGGACGTCTTCTTCCCACCGGAAGCCCAGAACGACTTCCCAGTAGCAATGCAGGTATGGTACATTAACAAGGAACGGCCTTTAGGTGTTCCTCCGTGGAAAAAGCAGGCTAGCTGGCCCTGTGATCCAGTTTTTGTTGAATGCAGAGGTCTCTAACTTTGGCAACTTTAAGACTTGTGTTGGCTGGGGAATTCTGAAGTCCACAAGTCTTAAAGTTGCCAAGGCTGGGCATCCCTAGTCTATGTTGTGGCCCGCCAGCAGTGCTGGCAGCAGATTTGGACAGTGAGGAGGTTAGGGAGGAACATAGGCCAGTCCTGGAGTCTGGGGAAGGCTCTGATGAGGGCTCTGTGTGGGAAGCAGAGAGGGGCCCAGGGCCGTATGCCAGTTTTGAGCTACCTTCAGACATCAGTGAGGCAGACAAACAGCTGGATCCTGCTCCCAGTGTGCGCATGCACAGAGTTGCCAGAGAAGGGAACAGTTAAAGAACAGGGGTCGACTTGGGAGTAAGGCCACAGGTGGACAATGAATGGCCCCTTCCAGAGGAAATAAAAGACGAGCGAAAGGGGAGGGGAGTTTGCAGGAGTTCATTAGTTCGCTTAATTGATTTGTGACCCTCCAAGACTCCTTGCCAAGTCTTGCAGATCTCGGCCTGGCAGCTCTGCAGGCCAGATAAAGTCTGTGACTGTAAATCCTCCCTTGAAAAAGTTTGCTGGATGTGAATGAGCAGAATTCACAGTAAATTAATAAAAGGGTTTTTTGTCCGGACAAGGAGTTTGCCTCATGCTCTCGGGAAGCCTCGATCAGAACAGTCTAGTGGTTATGACACCAAGCTAAAAATCAGGAGACTCTTGAGTTCAAGTCCTGCCTTAGGCATGTAAGCCAGCTGGGTGACTTTGGACCAGTCACTCACTGTTAGCCCAACCCACCTCACAGGGTTGTTGTGGAGAAAACAAGGTGGAAGGTATGTTTCATGTCTTGGGTTATTTGTAAAAGCCATCAAGTGGGATACAAATGACTAACTAAATAAAATCAGAGGGGCTTAAAGGAATCGTGTCAAGGCGCTAAAAGAATTAGCAAAGCTTAAGGCTTCCCAGCTCCCAGCCTTGCATTTAATGTTGTACCTGTGTTTTAGAGAGCAAAGTTCAGGTGTTTGGGGGCTTCTGTAGGCCCCTTGATCCTTAGTCTGGGTAGCTTTGCAACTTGGCAGTTGGACAGTTCAAACAATCTATATGAAGGTACCGTGTTTTTGATGAACTGGGACTCTGCACGCCTTGGCTGGTTTTAGAAGAGCAGAGTTCATTATCCAAAAAGTCTGTTTGTGTTCTTTTAAAATTATCTGCAGAAAAGCATGAACACGGTGGGAGGAGAGAGTAGTGAGCCTGGTAGAGGGCCTTGAAGGACACAGGGAAGATCTGTTACCAGGCAAGGATGAGATAAATGAAGCTTGAACCCAGGCCAAGGAAATGGTTTACCAAAGCATCTCATCTCGGAGAGCCAGCTCCCCTTCAAATTCACCTGAAGATAAAAGGGGGGGAGGGTAATACATCCAGACTTGCAAGCTTCTTTTACAATAGCAATAGCCCTTAGACTTATATACCGCTTCACAGTCCTCTCTAAGCGGTTTACAGGCAGCCTATTGCCCCAAGAATCCAGGTCCACGTTTTACCAGTCTCAGAAGGATGGAAGTTGAGTCAACCTTGAGCCTGGTGAGACTTGAACTGCCAAATTGCAGTCAGACAGCAGTCACTAGAAGTAGCCTGCAGTACTGCACTCTGACCACTGCGCCACCACGGCTCTTAGAAAATAGCTGTTCTAATAAAAGTAATTTTTGCTCTGCACAGACTCTGGTCTACCTTATTTCCCCCCCCCCCTCTTTCCATTCAGTCGTGTCTGATTCTGGCAGACTGCCTGGCACATCCCTGCAGTTTGCATGGCAAGGGTTTTTTTTTTCCAGATGTGGTTTGACATTGCCACCTTCCTGGGGCTGAGAGAAAGGGCTGGCCCAAGGTAACACAGCTGGCTTTATGCCAAAGATGGGACAAGAACCCAGAGTCTCCTGGTGATGGGCTCAAAGTCATCCAGCTGGCTTTCATGTAAGATAGCAATAGCACTTACACTTATATATCGCTTCACAGTGCTTTTAGAGCCCTCTCTAAGCAGTTTACACAGTCAGCCTCTTGCCCCTCAACAGTCTGGGGTCCTCATTTTACCGACCCCCAACAATTTAAACTTTAAACTTTTAAACTTCAAAGTCACCTAACCGGCTTTTACTCTTAAGTCAGGACTAGAACTCACAGTCTCCCAGTTTTTAGACTGATGCCTTAACCATTACACCATATAGGCTGTTGTGAGTCTTTTAACTCACAGGACCGAGATGAAGTTGTCTAACATTTTTGAAACCTGGGGATGAGCAAATAAGATACGTTTAATGCAGGTTAGCTGTCTCCACGACTAGGATTGAACTTTGATGCCGAAGACCGTGCTAACTTATTCGGCTTGTATGACATACGTTGAACTGTTGGGTGGGTTTTCAACTACAGTACTTTGCCTTGAGGTGGCTACCAATTCCCTTCCCCCCCCCTCATCTTCCTATTTGCAGATTAGCGAGAAGCACGATGTGGTCTTCCTGATCACAAAATACGGTTACATCCATCTGTACGACCTTGAAACAGGCACCTGCATCTACATGAACAGAATCAGTGGGGAAACTATCTTTGTCACTGCGCCACACGAAGCCACGGCTGGAATCATTGGGGTCAACAGGAAAGGACAGGTAATGAGCGGCTTTAATGTTCGGGGGGGGGGGGGGCTTAGGCAGGGGTGGGATTGAAAAACATTAGCAACCAGTTCTCTGCCCGGTTGCTGGGTGGGCGTGGCCAGGGTGGGCGTGGCCTACTCGGGCTGCTGAACCACGGCAGGGAGGGGAGGTGTTTTTGCCCTCCTGAGCCTATGGAGGCTTTCCGTGAGCCTCCAGGAGAGCGAAAATGGCCTCCCCTGGGCTTTAGAGGCCCTCTGGAGGACGGGAACTAGCCCATTTCCGGACTTCCAGTACTTCTGGAAGGCTCGTTTTTCTCCCTCCCTAGGCTCCGGAGGCTTTTGTCAAGGCTCCGGGAGGCAAAAATGGGTTCCCCTAGGCTCCAGAGGCCAGAAATAGGCCTGTTTCTGGAACTTCTGGGAGGCCCGTTTTTCACCCTCCTAGAGCCTCTATGCAGGACCTGGCACGATGAATGAGTCGCATGGAGACTCCTGGGAGGGGTGGGGTGGGTTGAGAGGGGCCAGCCAGTTGTTGCAACTATCAGTCTGGCAAACCAGATGTAAAACCTGATTCACCCGAACCGGCTGAATCCCACCCCTGGGCTTAGGAGGTGGTGCATGTGAATGGATTGAGGCCAGGTCAGTGGTAGGTTCAGCCGGTTCCAGCGACCAGAGGGCCTGCCAGACCCCTGAACTGGTTCTCGGCGGCGCCATCTCGTTTTCTGCGCATGCGCATAACAATTTTTATTGCACTGCACGTGCATGCATAGCATGCATCAAGTGCATGCACATACAGCATGCATCAAGCGCATGCAAAACGTACACCCGCAGGTGGTGCGCAAACCAGCAAACCATCAGTAGTGCCTGCCAGAACACACCCCTGGGCCAGGCGGGCGCATCTGTACAGGTAATCCTTGACTTAAAGCCACAGTTGAGCCCCAAATTTCCATTCCCGAGCAAGGCGCTGTGCCCCATTTTGTGACTTTTCTTGCCAGAGCACAGCAAATCACAGGTTGTAGTTACGTTAATAAGATGGTTGTTAAGTGAGTCTGGTTTCCCTATTGACTTGGCTTGTCAGAAGATTGCAAATGGTGATCACATGACCCCGGGACGCCAACCGTCATAAATACGAACCAGTTGCCAAGTGTCTAAATTTTGATCAGGTGATCTTGGGGATGCTGCAATGATCTAAGTGGGGAAAGCAGTCATAAGTCACTTTTTCCAGCGCCTTTGTAACTTTGAACGGCCACTAAACAAACGGTTGTTAGTCAAGGATTATCTGTATATGGGTTTTTAAAATGTTGCTTTTTTTCTTGGACGTTTACCTGAATACTAAAAATTTCATGTAGTAATTTGGGCATAGGTCCACCGTCAAACCTTGGTGTGCTGTTCTGTTCCACAAAACAAGTGAAAAGGTTTGTATTTGAATAGTAGCAGTAGGTCGAAGTTCACAGCCTATGGAAAAGCTGTCAAATCTCTCTTGGCAATATTTAACAGCGTCAACCTTGAAAGATCTTTCTTGATCAGATGATGCTGGCTTTCAGTTCTGGCCTGCTGCTGATGGCTGTTTTCCTGCCAGGAATTGGAGCTGCCAAATTGGTTCGCTGTCGGTTCTGAGATTTTCTTCTCCTGCAAAAAAAGGAAGGGAGGGAGGGTGGGGAGAAAGAGCAAAGAGATAGAGAGAGAGGGGGAGGAAGGAAGGAAGGAAGGAAGGGAAAGAAAGAGAAAGAAAATGAGAGAGAAAGGAAGGAAGAGGAAAGAGAAAGAAAGAAAGAAAGAGGAAAGAAAGAAAGCGAAAGAGAAAAAGAAAGAGGAAAGAGAGGAAGGAGAAAGAAAGAAATAGAGAGAGAAAAAGAGAGAGAGAAAGGAAGAGGAAAAAGAGAAAGAAAAGAAAGAGGGAAAGAGAAAGAAAGAAAAGAAAGAAAGATTGAGTTCCTAGGGTTAAGGAGGAGACATATCCTGAAGCTTCATAGCTCTTTGATCCAGAAGCCGCCTCTTATCCTTTGTCTGCTGAAGAACACACAAGACAATCCATGCGTGCAATTTTCTCTTGTTAATCTGTGACTGCTTCATAGTCTCACTCACCCTCTGATGCCAGAGCAGGCCTCTCGGTAATCCACAACTGCAATTCAGGGCAAATATGCTCTTTGGTCACCAAACACGTGATAAGGGAGAAAGTACACATTCTTCAGATGCCAGAGACATTTGCAGAGCCTGTGAGCATCCTTGGTGAAACTCCTTGGTGCTCATCTCTGTTTTCTTAGTTAGAAGGGGCCAACGTTGTCCAAAGACATTTCTATGGTCATTTGGCCAGCAGGCCTATATGCCAAAGGCGCACGGAATGCAGTCGCCTTCCCACCAAAGTGGTACCTACCCGTGTTTCCACGAAAATAAGAGCCTGTATTTATGTATGTATGTATGTATTGTGTCACAACCCCTGGTATGCCCAAATATGGGAGGGAGCATACTGCTTCCCTTTTCTGTTTATCAGCTCACTCTGGGAACCATCCAGGCAGAAAGCCATGTTTTAATGTTGCCTTGTTACATTTGTGTTGCATTTGTGCTGATAAATAAATAAAGGCTCTTATTTTCGTGGAAACACGGGTAGGTACCAC